CAGCAGGTCAGGTCAGTTCAGGCCGCTGCAGCGGCGGCTCCGTGGCACACGGTTTCACAGGAATTTTGGCGAAAATAACCTCGGAGTTGCGTTAGACCCGCGTCAGAGCTGCCGCGCTGGCCTGCTGGGGGCCAGCCGGTCCCTTCCCTGCACTCGCTCCTCCTGGGCGAGGGCGCATCTTCGCTTTCCTGACGGGGCAGTATCTTTTTGGAGGGCTTACTAGCGATCGTGCCAAACTCTAAGTAGGAGAAAAGGGAGGAAATTACCAGATTTCTGGGTTTTTCCCATTCACGTAATACCCCCTGGCCCCCAAAAACCACAGAAGCAGCAACAACAAGGTACTATTATAACATGAAAAAGAGAAGTGTCCAGTCGTGGACTTCTTTATTCAGGTTTCCTTCCAATAGAAATTTTGGTGAAGTAAAACTGAAGATGAAGGAAGTACTAACTTGACGTATATACTCAATACGGTGTTCGCATGGAACAACTGGAGTCCTGAATACGGCTAAGTACTACTGGTGTCATCTGCGCCTTGGTATCAGGCGTGAGAAAGCAGAAGCGATGTTTTGGGTCTGAGCGGTTGTCTCTGCAAACTGTGTCCTCACCGTCCTTCAAAAAGAACACAAACCAGTGCCCAGTCAGAATATCATCGTTCCCTCTACACAAGTGGGTAGTATCACTCAGGGTGCTCATGGAGAAAAATGCAGCATACCCACCTTGATCTTGCATTGTAGCTTGGCGGGTGGTTCATATCACTGCTTCAGTGGATGAAGGCCGCTGTTACTGAACCTATCATTGGGACATTTAGTTAAATAAAGTCGAAAGCAGTGCATTTCATTTACTTTCTACTTCTCGGTGTTAGGAAAAGTTTTAACTCTGTGAGCCACCAGGGCTACTGATAAAGAGTTTTGCCTTTTGGGATACACTCAGAACCTCTTGGCACTAAGGTGTTTAAACATGTTGGCCCTTGCAAGGTAGGGTGTTTGGTTCTACCTGCTGTCTGGTCTAGGAAGCTCCTTGTTTTGTTGATCGGCACTTGGGCCTTGATCTGTCCTTTCATGGTATACACTGACTTTTGCTTCCACCTGCTGTGTAACTTAAAAAACTCATTGTTTCATTGATCTGATGACTGAGATTTGTATTTGGTAATAAAGTAGGTCTGGGTTTTGACCTTATTTAGGATATTAGATAAATCTCTGAACCTTTAGAATTATTCAAACTATGAGCTGTATTACCTAGATGGCAGTTAATTCTGCTCAGTGTAGACATGATACTCTTACACTTCATCGTGTTGCTATTACATGTTAGAGGAATAGATGTAGAAAAAACAGAAATTTGGAGGGAGATTTTTCTTTCATTTTTTACAATACATTTTGTTCAAGAGAGAGGAGAAAACCCAGACTCCAAAACAACCCCAACCCTGAATTTGACCATGAACCAGACACTGAAGGGAGGGGAAAAAGAAGCTCTGTTTATGCCTAGTATCCTAGAGAAACCACGCAAGAACAGTTCATTCTTAGATAAAGAAGGGCCAGGAAACATTGCCAAGATTGATAGAATCTCAAGTTATCTGCCACAGGAGCACTGGTACTGCAAGTTACGGTTGCCCAACTTCAAGCTCTTTTTTAACCTTGCAGCATATCAAAAATATTCATACGCTTCAGAATGCATCTTAATTAAGAAAAAAAGAACAGATATTTAGAAATAAATGGGCATAAATAAAATCATGATACATCAGTCAGAATTATCTAAATTCATGAACCCATTTCTTGCTAGCAAGCTTACTTGGCAGTTCCTTTAAGTGGAACTGAGGTTCTAGTCAGAACGGAGTTGGCCCCAGCTCTAGTTAAATACCATAGGCATTAGCTATGCTCCCGCACAGGTTTTCCTCTCCATTCTATAGACAACAATAGTTTCATCCTTGAAACCATTCTGTTAACAACATCTGTGAGATGGGTTGATAAAGCAGTTCTAATATAATGCTCTCTTCTTATTAATTGAAGAAAACATTGGAACTCAGGTAACTTTCATATCCTTGCAAATCAGAGTCGTTCAAACAGTTTTAAAATATTCCTACTTGTTTTTTTGATAACCAGCATAAATCTGTTAGAGATGAAGCAAAATTAGCTCTCCTACACCTCGTCATTCTTACTGCTCTATTTCC